AGTGGGAGGGTTTCTACACAACCCAACCGATGGATAAGTCTTGGAGAGTCATCGGAATCAGTTCCAGGAGACCTAGAATCGGACCCAAGAACTTATGACGAGGCACTCCAAGATAAAGATGAAAATTCTTGGAAGGTTGCAATGAAAGCTGAGATGGGGTCTATGGACACCAATCAGGTCTGGGATCTTGTAGAACCACCCGATGGATACGTCCCATTGGATGCAAGTGGGTTAACAAGAGAAAGAGGGGATCAGATGGAAAGGTGGAAACCTTTAAAGCTAGGCTTGTTGCGAAAGGTTATACCCAGAAAGAGGGTATCGATTATGATGAAACCTTTTCGCCAGAAGCTATGCTTAAATCCATTCGGATTCTCTTAGCTGTAGCCACTCATATGGATTATGAAGTGTGGCAGATGGATGTTAAGACAGCTTTCCTTAATGGGAACCTTCAGGAAGACATCTATATGCAACAACCAGAAGGATTCATTCCAAAAGGGCATGAACACTTAGTTTGTAAGCTTAATCGGTCCATTTATGGACTGAAGCAAGCCTCAAGGTCTTGGAATATTCGGTTTGATGAGGTAATCTAGTCATATGGATTTACTCAATGTCCGTATGAGCACTGTGTATACAAGAAGATTAGTGGAAGCGTGGTGGTGTTTCTTGTGCTATACGTGGATGACATACTTCTTATTGGCAACAACAAGAAGGAGTTGTCAGACGTAATGGCGTGGTTGTCTAAGCAGTTTGATATGAAGGACTTGGGTGAATCAGGACACATTCTTGGTATCAAGATCATTCGTGATCGTGGGAAAAGAATGATGTGCTTATCCCAGTCTTCATATATAGATACTGTCTTGGCCAGATTCAGTATGCAGAACTCTAAGAGAGGCACATTACCTTTTAGACATGGAGTACCTTTATCTAAGGAGTTGTCTCCTAAGACGACTGAGGAGGTAGAGGACATGAAGACAGTTCCTTATGCTTCGGCAGTAGGAAGTCTCATGTATGCAATGCTGTGCACTAAGCCTGATATTAGCTATGCCGTTTGCATGGTAGCGAGATATCAGATTAATCCAGGAAGGGAACATTGGGCTGCGGTGAAACATATACTCAAGTACCTGTGAAGGACTAAGGAGTACACGTTAGTTTACCGTGCAGACAGTTTGTTTCCGCTGGGT